TTTTTTTTTTGAGATAAGGATAACATGCATTGTATTGCTTACATATATGCTTGTTTACAACGCTTCTGTGCACTTATGTTGATAAGTGTTATAAATAGGTAAAAGTTAGAGAAATAACCTTTGCTAAGAGCTAGATCGAAGCGGGTGTAATATATCATACTGTTTTGTTTATCAACTATAACAGAATGATTGCAGGTAAAAGAGAAATAGGAGAATGCAGAAAATATTCTAACTTATCTTTCTTCTCTTATTGCTTTTTGTTTTCGTGTGTTTTGAACACTCGTGGTGCTCTATTTATAGAGCAACTACCTTGAAAACTTACGAAAACTTCACTATTTAGCATATGAATCTTTACTGTATACATGTGGGCAAACATACTCACTGTTTACAACACTCCCCCTTGGATGCCCACATATCAACATCAGTTGCCTCATTAAAACCTTGGTTGGAAAACCCAGTAGGAAAAAACCATAGCGAAGAAAAAAGAGTACAACTTTACCCAAATTGTCGATATGGTGTTAAGCATGCTTATGTTGCCTTGTTAAAACCTTGATAGGAAAAACCTAGTGGGAAAAATCCTAATCGAAGGAAAAAGAGTACAACATGCATGTATCATGGATGCTCCCCCTGATTCCGCATTCTTCAAATTTGTAAGCTGACGTAATCCGATTCCATGCACTAACTTCTAAAATGTGCACTTTGGTAGAGATTTGGTGAAAAAGTCTTCCAAATTTTCATTGGAACGGATTTGTCTGATTTCAATAACTTTAGCCTTCTGAAGCTCATGTGTACTGAAAAACCTTGGAGATATGTGTTTAGTTTTATCATCCTTGATGAATCCTTCCTTCATCTGGGCAACACAGGTTGCATTATCTTCATGAATGACAGTTGGAGTGTTTGTTTTTGAAGGTAGACCACATGAATTCCGGATGTGATGGATCGTTGATCTTAACCAAGAACATTCACAACTTTCTTCATGTAAAGCAATTATTTCCGAGTGATTGGAAGATGTAGCAACTAATGTTTGCTTCGTTGAGCACCATGAAATTGATGTATCTCCATTAATGAACACATATCCAGTTTGTGAACGGCTTTATGCGGATCGGAGAGAAAACCAGTATCTACGTATCTAACAATGATCTGGTCATTTGTGGACTTGTCTGAGTAGAAGAGACCCATGTCTGTTGTCCCACGAAGGTATCGTAGAACATCTTTGACTCCCTTCCAATGATGAATTGTTGGAGCAGAGCTATACCTGGCTAACAAGTTTACTGAAAAAGCTATATCTGGTCTAGTACATTGTGCTAAATACAATAAATCACCTATTGCACTCAAATATGGTACTTCTGGACCAAGGACCAATTCGTCATCTTCTTTTGGACGGAATGGATCTTTCTTAATGTTCAAAGAACGAACGACCATTGGGGTGCTAAGTGGATAAGCCTTGTCCATGCCAAATTGCTTAAGTATTTTTTCAATGTAAGCTTATTAATGGACCAAAATTCCATTAGCACAATGTTCAATCTACATGCCGAGACAATATTTTGTTTTCCCAAGGTCTTTCATTTCAAATTTGCTTTTTAGACACTCAGCAGTTTTATTGAGCTCTTCAGGAGTTCTAACGAGGTTCATATCATCAACATATACTGCCACTATAGCGAAACCAGTATTTGATTTCTTAATGAACACACAAGGGCATGACATTGTTGGCATATCCTTGTTTGATCAAATACTCACTGAGACGATTATACCACATTCGCCTAGATGGTTTCAGCCCATATAATGGTCGCCTTAATTTGATTGAGAACATACCTCATGGTTTGTTAGTCATTTCATGCAACTTAAGTCCTTCAAGGACTTTCATATATATGTCAGTATCTAATTCTCCATATAGATATGCAGTGATGACATCCATAAGTCGCATATCAAGTTTCTCTGAAACCACTAAACTTATTAAGTAACAAAACGTAATTGCGTCAATTACAGGAGAGTATGTCTCTTCATAATCAATTACAGGTCTTTGTGAAAAACCTTGTGCAACGAGTCTTGCTTTATATCTTGCAATCTCGTTTTTCTCATTGAGTTTCCTTGTGAATACCCATTTGTAACCTACGGGGTTCACACCAGGCGGAGTTTGGACTACTGGTCCAAAACACTTCGCCTTTCCAAGGAATTTAATTATGCCTGGATTGCATTTTTCCACTTACGCCAATCATGTCTCTATTTGCATTCATCAACAAAGCAGGGCTCAATGTCATCGCTTAATATAATTTCAGTGGCTACTGCGAAAGCGAACATATCGTTGATGATTACTTCATTTCGATCCCACAATTCATTAGTACATGCATAATTTATGGAGATTTCTTTGCTTTCATGTACTTCTGTCTCTTCAGGGACATGTGTCTCATCAAGGACATTTTTTTTTTCAGAAAATTTAGAATCATGAATTGTGGATTTATTATTCGTTTTCTTTTCCCAAATAATTTCATTTGTATTCAGTTGTGCCCACATCTTTCTCTTTCGAGGGGCTGAATCTTTTGAACCTGGTGGTCTACCACGCTTCAAGCGTGCACCAGATGAATCATTCGCTACCACTTTATTTTGTCCAACAGGGACATCAATTCTTACAGGTGTTTTTGCAGCTGGTATATGTGACTTTGTCACTTTCGAAGCATCATTAAATGCATATGGCATTTGATTAGCAATACTTTGAAGATGAACAATCCTTTTCACTTCATCTTCACATTGAGTGCTTTGTGGATCAAAATGAGATAAAGTGGGAACAACCCATGTCAGCTTTTGCCGTTCTTCTAGAACGGTCTTTTCTCCCCCTAACGGCCGGAAAACAATCTCATCAAAGTGACAATCAGCAAAACGAGCTATAAACATATCACATGTTAAGGGATCCAAATATCTAATGATAGATGGTGAATCAAAACCCACATAAATTCCTAGTCTACACTGAGGTCCCATTTTAGTGCGTTGTGGCGGTTCAATAGGTACATAAACAGCACAACCAAAAACTCATAAATGTGAAATGTTTGACTGATGCCCAAACACGAGTTTTATTTATGAGTATTGGTGATTGGCTATGGGTCTCAACCGAACCAATGATGCAGCCTGTAAGATGGCATGTCCCCATGCAGAGACTAACAATTTTGTTTTCATGAGCAAAGTGCAAGCTATTAATTGAAGCTGCTTGATAAATGCCTCTGCTAAGCCATTTTGAGTATGGACATGATGAACAGAGTGTTCAACATCAATGCCCAATATCATGCAGTAATCATCAAATGTTTGAGACGTAAATTCACCAGCGTTATCAAGTCGGATTGACTTAATGGGATAATCTGGAAATTATGCTCGCAACTTAATTATCTGAGCAAGAAATCTTGCAAACGCTACATTTGGAGTAGACAATGGGAAAACATGTGACCATCGGGTAGATGCATCAACGAAAACCATAAAATATCGAAATGGTCCACAAGGTGGTTGAATAGGCCCACAGATATCCCATTGAATACTTTGCAAAAATGATGGGGATTCAGCATCAACCTTTAGTTGTGATGGTCTAATTACAACTTCCTTTGGGAACAAGCCTTGCAAGGGTTATTCTTTGAGACATCAATGTGTCTGCTTAATAATGGATGTCCATTAGAGTTGGTAATGATTCTACACATCATGGTAGATCCTGGATGACCCAGACGGTAATGCTAAAGCATATAAACTTTTGAATCAATGAACTTCTGGTTCATAATAGTATGTGCCCCAATTTTCTTTATGTATGTATAATACAATCCACTCGATAAACCATGCAACTTCTCCAATATACGCTTTTGGGTATCATTGGAGGTAAAGCATAGATATTCCACATTTTCTGCACTTTTCGTTTCAATGTGGTATCCATTTAGACGTATGTCTTTAAAACTCAACAAATTTCGAGTGGATAACGTAGTGTACAACGCACTTTGTATGAACAATATTGTTCCATTTGGTGACATGATATGGGCTTTTCCTCAGCCTTCAATTACATCTGATTGCCCTGATATTGTTGTTACCTTTACTTTTGCAAGTATCATGTTCGAGAAATACTTTCGATCTCGAAGTATTGTACGCGTAGTTGCGCTGTCTGCAAGACAAAAATCTCCACCATTGCTCTTGTTTTAAGAATAACCATAATTTTTATCCATGCTCTCTGAGTAGTGGAAATTACAGTTTATTTGTACCATACTTGACCAATCCCGAAAATACTGCGCACCGGTCAACGTTATACCGTCAAGGACCCAGAAAAGTTTCCCTCCAACCAGGAGGCCAATCACAGCACGACATGTGTCGACATCAGAAGCCAATCATAGCACGACACATGTCAACATCAGAAGCCAATCACAACACGACACGTGTCAATGTCAGAATGAAACTAGAAACTCTCTTCTATAAATAGAGATCATTCTCTCACAATATTTCCTAATGTCATCTGTACTAAATTATTCACTTGTACTCACTAAAGGAAAGCTTGAACATATGTACTTGTGTAAACTCTTCACAATTAATGAGAACTCCTCTACTCTGTGGACGTAGCTAGTCTGGGTGAACCACATACATCTTGTGTTTGCTTCTCTGTCTCTATCCATTTACATACTTATCCACACTAGTGACCGGAGCAATCTAGCAAAGGTCACAAACTTAATACTTTCTGTTGTACCAAAGTCCTCACTGATTTTGTGCATCAACACAGTTAAAAGCAGTTTATTCATACTAGAATACTACTTTTATTGAATTGAATATGCAAGCATTAAATCACAAGTGCAAATAACAAGAGTACATCAAACATAAATGATTTAATCGAACCCAAACACTTCATTCCCTCTTTCAATATTGAAGTCTGAAACATCCAAGTAGGTTATGTTCAATTGTCCTAATAAATCGAACACTGGATCAAGTATATCCAACTGTATAGCCTGGTTGAGGAAATTGGTCCCGACACCCTTCTCCTTAAGAGAGGCTTAATACAGATCCACCAGATGTTTTGGGGTACGACAAGTACGTGCCCAGTGCCTATTGCCACCACACCTATGGCAAACTCCTTCAGGATTTCTAGGAGTGTTCATATAAGTTTCGCCTTTCTGGCAATTTGCATTTTTAAGGCTCAGGCCTGTATTATGCCTTGGAACCTGGTTGTGAACCTTGACACCATTGTTCTTGCCCTTTTGGCTTCGCTTGTGGCCACGTCCTCGTTTGTAATTATTACCATGAGGATGTGGTATTCCTTCAAAGGAAACAGCATTCACTTCTGGGAATGGTGCTGATCTAGTAGGTTGGGACTGATGATTCTTCATCAGAAGCTCATTGTTTTGCTTAGCTACAAGAAGCACAAATATCAGCTGGTTGTACTGAGTAAAGTCTCGCTCTCTATACTGCTGCTGCAGGAGCACGTTGAAGGCATGAAAAGTGCTAAAAGTCTTTTCCAGCATGTCTTCCTCAATAATGGTTTCTCCACAGAGCTTCAACTGGAAGGTAATTCTGAACATAACATAATTGTACTCAGCCATGGTCTTAAAATCCTGGATCCTTAGGTGAGTCCACTCATAACGAACCTTCGGAAGAATCACCATTTTCTGTTGATTGTATCTATTTTTCAATGCCTTCTAGAGGGTTAGTGGATCTTCGACTGTGAGGTACTCGCTTTTCAGTCCCTCGTCAAGATGGCGAAGGATAAAGATCATGGCTTTTTCCCGATCTTGAGAGGATGCACTGTTATCCTCCTTAATAGTTCTCCAAGATTCTCTACCTCTAGATGAATCTTGGCATCCATTACCCAGGTAAGGTAATTCTTCCCAGTAATATCTAAGGCAACAAAATCAAGTTTTGCCAAGTTCGCCATTTTTTTTTTCTGAAAGAAAAATGAGGTGCGTAAGAACTTGCAATATTGTGTATTCTAGAGGAATATATTGTTAGAACTTCTGGTTCTTACAAATTTTTCATTTTGATCCTCAGGCCAAAATGATAAGCACTCGTGTTTGTATCATACTTAGGGCCTCCGTATTTAGATTTCGTATAAATACTTGGAGGACTCAAATGTAATTATGTAATAAATGGAGGGGCAAATATATAATAAGGATGAGCCCTTATTCTATAAAAGGACCCATCACTCTCCTTATTAAGATAGGCCTGACATCCCCTCTCATATTCAGAGCAAAGCTCTCACCCTCTCAATCCTCTCACAAACAGAGAAATACAATATCAGTGTGGACGTAGCACATACATTGGGGTGAACCACGATACATCTTGTATTCTTTACTTTCTTGCAGATTCACGGTCGGATTTACGTTGTTCCAAGACCCCTCTAGTTTTTTGCATCAACATTTGGCGCCGTCTGTGGGAATCAACACGAAAAACTATGTCGGTTCTCTTTCATTTTTTCACCTCCACCGTGAATCTGCAAAATCACAAAAACCCAGAAAAAGAAAAGATCCAAATCTCAAACACTCATCAGCTCTCTCTTTTTCATGCTTTCCCTGTCTGTATTTTGCTCATTTTTCATCAACCCAGTCCTCCATCTTCTTCTTCTTCTTCCTCGTCAAATTGATGAGCTCTCATTTCACTTGATTCTCTGAATCTCCGATTGATCAGGTGAAACTCTAAAGATAAAGTGGACGACGGTGCAGCATCTGGATCTTCGACATGTCGTATATAACTCAAAATCGTTGCAGCCTCATGCTGCTGCCTTTCATCCGTATCAGAGCCTCACCGCCGCAGCCATATTCAGAAGAAATCTCAACGACCCCAGTTCGTCAAACCCTGAAGCGAACCCAAGTCCACCATAAACCTCGACCTGCTTTCTGCACTCGCCAGTTTTGTGCATTATCGTTATTCCACCTCGCAAAGTGGTGAGTGGAGAGTCGAGAGAGAAAGGTTTTGGAGTTTTAGAGAGAAAGGCTTTGGAGTTTTTTAGAGAGAGAAAATGTACGTCCTTGAGAGACACAGTAAAACGCTGAGATCACGCTCTTGAAAATGGCGAATCATCATCCCAAACCCTTATCACACTGGTAACACAGCTCCCGTCATCTTCCTCCTCTTTCTTCCAAATCATCGGCTTCCAGATATGGCTGAGGCGGCAAAGGTTATGTACATAGTGGTGGTGGACAATGGGGACAAGACAAAGAAAGGGAATGAGTCATTTCGGTATACTCGTCCTGTTTTGCAAAGCTGTCTACAACTCATGGGCTGCAAGCCCCACCACGCCTTTAAGTCACCTACCCCCGTCAGACTGAAAGCAGCAAGAAAATTGTCATTTCTATCTCCGGTTACCCGTTTGAATCGCTCAAGAAACTCGTGAAGCTCAAGGGATGGCAGGTCCTGGTGATCGGGGAACTTCAAAACATCGTCGAATTGGAGCCTCAAAGAGTGTGGGTTACTTGTTTGTGAACGATTTCATACGGTCAGTCTTGAAGAATGCAAAACGCCAAAATGCCGAGACCTAGCGATCCTAGGGAATGAGAACTTGCCACTGCACAATCATTTCATACGGTCAGTCTTGAAGAATGCATGCCAAGCCGAGACCCCACGATCAATCCATTCACGTCCCCATCCAACCAGGTGTCTCGATACCTCTCGAGTACTACCCCGAAGCTTGGCGCTGCAAGTGTGGCAACCACATTTTCATGCCCTACCTCATGCTATCAACTACTTGAAGCTACTTTTGCTTTTGTCGACCACATGGAAAAAGTCATACTTATGCTGCCAAGGTGCAGGCTTGTGGTGCTACAATCAGGATGGGTTATCTTCAACAACCTACTTGGACAAAGGGAATAACTTTTCCCAACAAAGGACTTAGCTTTACCAGTCATTCACATGTGCTAGCATCACTTGTCGCACTTATCCAACAAAAAGAAAGGCTTTCAGCCAGCTCAACCACTCCCATAAAAGTGAAAAGAGAAAGTAAAATCAACAGCAAAAGCAGAAAACAAAAGAAGATAAAATGAAGTAGACATAATTGCGGTGGTGTTGGCATGCAGAAAAAGGGAATTATGGGCGTGACCCATTGAGCAGAGGGTCGGATTTATTTTTGAATGATGTAATTTATTTTTTTGATCTTTCGGAGACATATGTATAAACCCCATCAGAGGGTAATAATAATAAAAAATAAAAAATAAAAAAATAAAATAAATAAAATAAAAAGGCAAGCCCAAAATAAAGGGTTGGAATGTTATGTAGAGGGCCAAGGCTCATATGCCCAAAAGATCCAGGCCCTATGGTTCCAAAATTATTCGGCAGCCTGCTGCTATTATCACCAACCAGGTGATCAAAAGTACGCACAGTACTCCAAAATTATTCGGCAACTTGCCGCTATTATCACCCACTAGGTGATCAAAAGTACGTCCAGTACTCCAAAATTATACATGAGCATCACTAATGTCATTCATACATAAACATTCATGAGCATCACTCATGACAATCATACATAAACATTCATGACCATCATTCATGTCAACATTCATGAGCATCACTCATGACAATCATACATAAACATTCATGACCATCATTCATGTCAACATTCATAAGCATCACTCATGTCAATCAACATAAACATTCATGAGCAACACTCATGTCAATCTAGCTTCAAAAGCTTCATTTACAAGGCTCTAGCTTCAAAAGCTTCATTTACAAAGCTCTAGCTTCAAAGCTTCACTTGCAAAGCTTCACATACAAAGCTTCAGTGCAAGGTATACAAATACCGCCTCCAAACAACCACCACTTCGGTCCACACATGGATTTAATTTGAAGTTTCCAGCCAACAGACTCTATTGACCGAAAACTTGGGGGACTACATTATGTACCATATATTGGGCCTCATGAAAAATACTTGGGGAACTTAGCCCATTATTTATGTATTAAGGAGCGAGCCCTTATTTTATAAAAGAGACTCCCTCACCATCATTAGAGAGCATCGCCGCCTGCTGAGCAACCGGCTCGCCGTGAGCATCACTCCTAACCCATTATTCATGTACTGAGGAGCAAGCCCTTATTTTATAAAAGGGATTCCTTCACCATCATTAGAGAACATCGCCGCCTGCTGAGCAACCTTTTCGCCGCGAGCATCGACTCTAGCCCATCATTCATGTATTGAGGAGCGAACCCTTATTATATAAAATGAACTCTCTCACCTTCAACGCCACAAGCCGAGCCAACCAAGGCAACATAAGCCACAAGCAGAGCAGCCTCGCAACATGTGCTACTTTTAGTTGAGCATCATTTCAGATTGAGCACCACCTCATATCGATATCGAGTATCAGTTCAAGACGACATCTAGTTACTTCGGTCCACACATGGACTGAATTTCAAGTCTCCAGCCAAAAGACTCTCATGATTGGAGACTTGGGGGACTACTGTTTGTACCATACTTATGGCCTTCGTATTTAGACCTCGTATAAATACTCGAGGCACTCAAATGTAATTATGTAATAAATGAAAGGGCAAATATGTAAAAAGAGAAGAGCCCTTAGTCTATAAAAGAGCCTCCTCACCCACACAATAGAGGACTCTGAGATTCAGAGCTCTCATCCTCACATAGAAGTTATCGCTATCCTCTTCAACATCTCAGAGAAATACAATAATCAGTGTGGACGTAGCCCAAACATTGGGGTGAACCACTATACATCTTGTGTTATTTACTTTCTTGCAGATTCACAGTCGGATTTATGTTGTTCCAAGACCTTTCCAGTTTTGTGCATCAACACTTGGCGCCGTCTATGGGAATCAACACGAAAAGCTATGTCGGTTATCTCTCAATTTTTCACCTCCACCGTGAATCTGCAGGAACACCAAACCAAAATCCCAGTCTCATCTCTCTCTCTAAAAACCCAGAAATGGGTAAGCAGAACAGATACATACTCTAACTCTCTCTCTGCTTTCTCCATTAAAACCATTCAACATTCTCTCTCTCTACTTTTTTGGAGAGAGAAAGTGGAAAAAGATCGAAACTTTTTTGGGTTTACTGAGATGCTTCGTTCAGATGGGTCCAACGGGAGAAGATATGAGCAGGTCAGTAGTGAGTCAACTCGCCGAGTCGGTGAAGGCAATTTCCGAGTAGTAAAGATCTGGTTCCGCCTCCGCCAAGCAGCAAAGATCTGGTCACACCCAGTGTGGGAAAATTTTGTGATGGATCTGGATTCGCCTCCACCAAGCAGCAAAAATCTTGGCCTCTGTTGAAATAACCTCCTCCAATCCCATGCGCCATCAAATCATGCTCGGCTTTGCTGGACCTTCACTCCAGCAAGCCTTTATTCTATCAACTTAGAATCAACGAGACTCTATGTCCCGCTCTACTCCTCTCGAAGCAAAAGTTGTAAGACGACGACCTTTCATTCGCGAAGAAAGTCCGGACCCGAACCTGTTACTGAACCAATATACCAGAAACTTCCACCACCCACATGAATCTTCAAGAACCTCCCTCATTGGGCTGTTCCAGAGAAAAACCTTCGCAGATCTCTCTCTGTCTCTCTCAATAATCAAGGTTCTTACTTTTCTTCCTGCCTCAATTTGTTTGACA